TCAAGAAAATTAACATGAAGACACTTATGAAGACTTCTCTTGTGTTTTTACATGCTCAGTACAATTCTACACAAAGTCTTTCTTCCCATTGTGCACTGCTTTTGTCTAGGATGAAGGAGCTAGAGAGAGCTAGGTTTTCCCATGTATTTTGCATGATGTTGGTCTTCTTCAGTTTGTTCTTGATGCAATCTTTATGCCTCAATTTCGGTTTGTGTCCTCGTCTTATATTGCATACATACATGCAGAGTCACACACAGAGAGAATGTAACAAACATAAGAATTAGCTATTCTTTTACAATATCGATTTCTTTTATCCTATTTCTGTTGCTTTTTTGTTTAAATCACAGTATTAAGATTTATCTCCCTTACGTAAACTTGGTTTTTAAATAAATACAGTAAGTACCCATGTTATGACAGTCCTGACCTACAACCAGAGCTGGTGCAAAGGTCTTGTAACCCACCCAAATGTATGATACACCCCACCACTCCACTACATCTCAATTTTCATAAGGTATTATTCATATAAAATACAAATTTTATTGCAACCTAATTATGTATAATAATGGATTATATGCAATATAGATGAATAATTCAACCAGAAAAAATTGAAAATAAATACAATGTATCTAAATAGAAATTAGAGACATGTCATAACAGATCATTTCATCTTAAATTAATCAACAATGTTTTGTGACAGTTTTTAACATCAACTTGAGATTTTTCTTATTAAAAAGTTGAATAATTTTAACACATTCAACACTATGGATAAAAAATAGTGAATTTTATATACTGTTTTTTCTTTTTTCAAGCAAAACAAAATCATGGATTTGGACAAAAAAAAAAAAAAATAAAAACCCCGGAATGACATCAAAATCCACTAAATTTCTTAATGCTTTAATAGTCAGTTGAACTTAGTTTAATTTGTGACGTATATAAATGTAAGTAGAAAAAAGCAAATGTTGATAAGATAGTGAAGATTACAATCAGGCTTCCAACACCCCTCCACTCACAGGGTTTAGGGGTAGTACACACTGCCCATGACAATTTGTGGCTATGATTCAATCTCCATTAATCTTGTTTTGTTTCATGCATATGACACAAATCTAAAGATAAAGAATTGTTCCGTTTGATATTTTTTACTGTATACATACGCATATTCTATGCCACTGATCTTGGTTTGTTGTGCTTTTATGTATCTTAAAACATGTACACATATATATATATATATATATATATATATATATATATATATATATATATATATATATATATATATATACACATATTGTGTTTCTCTGTAAGAGGTGAGGGCATTTTCTTGTTAAACTATAAGTTGGTGAATTTCTGATAAAAAAAGAAAAATGAATGTGAGCAACTTAAAAAAATTTCATTTCATTATATGTATTATATTTATATCCACCATGAGCTTTTTAATCCTAATTATATTAAGATATGTCATAGAAATGTGTTGTTATATCCTAGATTATTACTTTACTATTGCGTTAACATATGGGAGTGATGTAAGTGCTTATTCACGGAAAATCACCTGTACATTACAACTTACACTGAAAATAGTGTTACAATATATGGTAATAAAATAAGCACATACCACCTCCCCTCTTGCTTATAACCATCCACTATAATAAAATAACCATTTTCAGCGCTAAAGCTGAATCAATCAAATAAAGCCTCATAAGCTTCTAAGTGTTGTTGCCATATTACACAATGCATCATAGGAATGGGACTCTGTCGTAAGTTGAGGATACCCCCAATGAAAGGAATTGACAAAAACAAAATTATTAGATTTCTAAACCCCTTTGTGAATTACTTTTATTACTTTCAAATAAAGGATGTTTCAAATCCCAGAAGGGTTTAAAAAACTTAACTGCAATCCCACTGAAAAAATGGCATCCATATAAGTTACATTATTTTTCAAACATAATCTATCTACATTTTACAAATTTCCTTTGAAAAAATATTAGAAAATTGACTTGGAAGCAAAAATACCATTTAATTTTTAAAACTGTCTGTTACTTTTGTGGCAATTTGTAATTGTATACATATTATTTTTGTTGAGTTTTACATTGAAGCAATTAATGGCTATTTCTAATCCAACAATATTTCTTTGTACATTATATTTACTGGGTAAACATGTTTGAGTAGACATGACTAGTTTTTGAAAAAAATGTGAAATTAATGTCTACTGGTCTAGAGATCAAGAAGTCTCATTAAAAAATGTACCTCCTGACAGGAATCAAATATTTTCTATTGTGTACTGTCCCAAGTATCAGTTCCTTATTTGGTGACTGTTAAATCAAAAATAAAGAATAAACTTTGACCAAAGTTGAACTCATATCCATTATCTTTGATATAACAACTTTACTGGTTAGGTTAAACTCAACCAATAAGAATCATATGAAATTAGCTATAAATCTCTTTTTGTTTTTTTTTTTAATATCTGATCTAATCTGACTTCATATTGTTCTTCATACATATTTTGTCACTGTATGATAAGTCTCCAAGTATAAGGGATAAGGACTTTCTATTATCCCTGCTGCTTATCTTTACTTAAAATATACATAAATATACATTGGCTAAGAAAAATTGATCAGCATCAGAAGAATTGCTTATTCCTGAATGTAATAGCTACTGAAATGGAAACAGTGTAATCTTATGCCTAAAAATAAACAAGTATATATATATATATATATATATATATATATATATATATATATATATATATATATATATATATATATATATATTAATTCCAATCAATATTTTATAACTTCAAATGTTATTATAGTGGATACTCATATTTAAAATAGACACCCCATTTTCATTTAAATAGTTTGTATTATGTCTATCAGCCAGTGCATTCAATAAATCTTAATAAAGTGTCAAGGAAGTGCTTTCCTTTAAAAGGGAAAAATAGAGTCTTGCCGGACTGTGATGTTATTTGTGGCTAATTGGTAGAACATGCCAGACCAAATCGTGTTTTTCTCTACAAAGTGTGACACAAATTTGATTCCTGCTGGAGAAATCATTTCAATAACATTTGAAGTAAAAATATATATATATATATATATTAAAAAGAAAATAAATAAATTATGGAAAATAGAGTATAATATATATTTTAAAATAAAAAAATCCACATCTTAACCAAATAGTTTTATGGTATATCTTCTTTTTAAAATATACACTTTTCTCTCATTGTAACAATTATAACCTATTCCTATATATATATATATATATATATATATATATATATATAGAGATAGATAGATAGATAGATAGATATATAGATATAGATATAAGTTTGATCTCTGACAGAGAACACATTTTTAATAATGTTTGAAATAATAAATAATTTTTAATAATGTTTGAAATAAGTATAAATATATATAGGAGAAAAAGGGCAGTCAATTGCTGAAACACATTGATGAGTATTAATACAAGATATATATATATATATATATATATATATATATATATATATATATATATATATATACTAGCACTCACTGTGTGCTATTATATATATATATATATATATATATATATATATAGCACACAGTGAGTGCTAGTAGACTGATGAAAATAACAGACAGAGATAAAAATTTATACTAAATATAAATATACGTTTGTTCCTCATGATTTGGTACAACTCTGCAACCCTATCCAAATAGTGAGGAGTAAATGTATATTTATACTTTTGTATATATATATATATATATATATATATATATATATATATATATATATATATATATATATATATGTAAGCAATTTTGAATCCAATATCATTTCTTATTATAAACATAATTTTAGTGGATAAATCTGTTTTAGTAGACATTCTCAATTTTTTATAAACCTTGTTGAATTAATGTCTCCTGGTCTTGATCCTAAAAGGTCTGAGGTACATTTTCTTTAATAAGACATTTGATAATCTAAATATTACTTGACTGTTAAAAAAGTTAAAGAAAGAGGGATGCCTACTCAAACACATGTAGCCACTAAAATAACACTTATAGTAATAGGAAATAGTTTTATCTATAGATACATAAACCTGGCATGTGTGAAATTGATGATTTTATATAAATATGCAGTGTATTATAGATATACAAATTGTTGTGCATATTCAAAATTGTTTATCTGCATAAAAATAACTGCATCTGTATATGTATGCAACATGTCATCTATGGAAAAAACATATATAAATACGTACATGGCCGTGTAAGTAATAGTGTACTTATATTTATATGAATGACTGTGTTTATATATGTATGTAATGTATATTTTTATATGTTTGATTTTATTTTTTTAACAGGTACAAATATACATCCATATACAATGGAAAAACATTGAGTTGGAGGAAATTTGATACATCGTGAACTGATAAAAAATATTAAAGTTTTGAAAATTTTAAATTGAAAAAAAATTATGTGTATAGAAATATAAAGTATAATTGTTGCCTTTCAGTAGAGAAGAAAGAATGTTTGGTGACTTTGTTAGAACATGCATACAGAAAGGAATGGAGACAATAAAATAGACTGAGAAAATGTTAAGACCAATAGAATCAGTCAAACAGAGACAAGGGCAGGATAGATAGATAGATAGATAGATAGATAGATAGATAGATAGATAGATAGTGAACAGGTTAAGTTAGCTATCTAGTGATATAGATGGATGGATAGAAATAAAGAAACTAAGACAGATAGAAAGAAATGAATAGACTTTGACAGATAAGTAGAAATAAAGAGATTTAGATAGATATTATGAGACTTTGATATATATACATATAGAGACAGTGAGAAAGACAGAGAGATATATGAAGAGACATATATATATATGTGTATATATACAGAGAGATATTTTATATATATATATATATATATATATATATATATATATATATAGATAGATAGATAGATAGATAGAAATGAACAGACAGTGAACAGAATAAGAAATCAGATAAGAAACTTGAGAGGGAAATCAAACTAGAGATAGATAGATAGATAGATAGATAGATAGATAGATAGATAGATAGATGATAGATAGATAGATAGATAGATAGATAGATGAACAAAGATAGATAGATAGATAGATAGATAGATAGATAGATAGAAATAAACAAACTTAGAAAGGAGTAGACTTAGATAGATAGATAGATAGATAGATAGATAGATAGATAGATAGAAATGAACAAACTTAGAAAGGAGTAGACATAGATAGATAGATAGATAGATAGATAGATAGATAGATAGACAGATAGCTAGAAATGAACAAACTTAGAAAGGAGTAGACTTAGATAGATAGATAGATAGATAGATAGATAGATAGATAGATAGATAGATAGATAAATAGACAAACAAACAATACAGTTATATAGAAACAAATAATGAAAGTTAAAAATCACAAAACAGACAAAATACATAGAATCAAACAAATATAAACACACTGAAATATAGAAACAAATACCTAGAATAAAAGGCAACTATGAAAACACATAAATTGAACACATTAAGACCGGATAAATATAAATACAAAAAGAAAAAAATAACCAAATAAGTATCTAAGTATAAAGTTATTTGACAGTTCAAGATAATTGTAATCATCTGTGCTTCCATATATATTGCTGCTTTGTTGGTGGATGTAGATTTTTAAAAAAATTTTTATTTATTTCTTGAGGAAATAAGACTTTGGTTTTGACTTGATTAGAATAAGTGTGAAGAGGCAGTAGATTTTTCCTTTATGATTTCTCTTGCTTCTCTTCCCTTGGTCTTTTTTTTTTAGCACCAAAATGAGATGGACTTGCTGAATGTGTCAAAATGGTAAGGTGGTTTTCTTTCCTCTTATAGGAACCACTAAATGAAATCTAATGACACGCACCAGAATCCCAAAAAGGAGGTTGTATTTCCAGCAGGTCCCTTAGCACAACAAATGGAGGACTTGTTGGCTGATCAAAAAAACGAAGCGAAATGTCCTCTTTGAGTTTTTAATGCAAGTCCAACCCTGAACGAAGCAGTTGATTTAGCTTTTTCTTGAATTTTTTTTTTTTTGGTCATTGCTTTTTGTCGTTATTGGAAAAAAAAGATAAAACCAAAAAGTAAAATTCAGGAAAATAATGGCTTATTACGACAGAGCAACTACTGTATTTATTCATGCCCTGATACCAGAAATGTCAAAATAAAAAAAAACAGAAATGGTTGGCATAAAACACTGGTGTAATATTTTAGCAATTTTATCAGTCTTAACAAGCTAGTTGCTATGGTAGCTCTTTTGTATTGTATTAATTAAACATTAAAAAAAAAAAAAAAATAGTAATCCTATAGCCAAATATCTTTTCTTATACGTGACCAATATGGAGTGGTTGTCATCAGTGACAGTATATAACTGATCATCAGGGGATTCAGTTTCTTTCAACTTCAAACTCTCTTCCCCCGGCAGACCTTATCAGCACCCTGATCTATCGCCCCCAAAACTAGATACTATTTCAAACACCTCTATTTTCACTTTGGTAGATTGATTGGTGGAAAACTTACTTCTCTTGATTAACCACTCCATTATACCTTTAGTGGGTACATTTTCATACAGAAAGCATCATTTTTACATTTCTGTAAACATAACCAGTTAAAGATATTGATGGCTGAGATGGGGGGGACACTGGCTTCTCAGAGTATCTTAACGATATAATATTACATTGTAATTTTTTAATCTGGCATCTTTTCTTATTACTATAAACATTATATTTAGTGGGTAAACATATTTTCCTTTAATGAGCTCTTTCAATCTCTAGGATGGTAGACATTAATTTTGATTTAAAAAAAAAATTGTGATGTCTACTCAAATATGTATAGTCACTAAAGATAATGTTTGCCATAATATTTTGTACATTGCAAACTGATCATTTGACAACTTAGCAATGAGGGGATCATATTATGTGTGAAAATAAAATATATCCATGAGCTTTTTATTAAAAATAATGGATTGCTTTATATTCAAAATCATATATGTATGAATAAATACAGTAATTTTCTTTCCCTGCATTTTTTTTCTTTTACCTACATTTACCTGAGTCCATAATGCAAAATTTTCATTGTGTTGGTTGGGATGGTGGGAGAGATCAGGGAGGACAACATGTGAGTTATAAAGATGTCAACAAGGATCTAAGACATTGCTTTCAGGAACCAGTTTAAGATATTGCTTTCAGGAACCAGTTTAAGACATTGCTTTCAGGAACCAGTTTAAGATATTGCTGTTATTTTATTTTTGGTAGAAAGCTGGCTGATGCTATTTTTCTTTTTTACTAAATGGCATAATTTTATTGACATCTCCCAGAATCCTGTTTTGACATTCCCATAACTGCCATGTTGCTCTCTCCGACCACAAGGTTACCAAAGTCCTTTAATTGACTGGCCAGATCATCCATTTTGTCGTCTTCAAAGTTGAATGATAGCCCAAAGTCATCATCAACGCGGTAAGGTAGCTCCAGTGACTCAACAAGTGAATCCTGGGCCATGTTGAACACATTGAACATGTACTGGATGTCTTTTTCCTCTTTGGCAGTTTCCAGTATCTTTATTTGGCTCATCATGTTTTCTTCCCGCTCCTTTATATGGTTCAAATTCTCCTGCAGGTCTGACCGCTTCTTCTCCACCTCTCGCTCGGACATATTCAGCAGCATCTGTTCCCGCTCTTTTATCACGTCCCGTATTATCTGGAAAGTCTTCTTGATCCCTGACGACACGTTCTGTTCCATCTGACGCACATCCTCTAACCTCTTCGACACTTCCATCCGCTTTTCCTTAAACTGCTGGCGACGTGACTCCATCTCGCTGATCGAGCTGTCAATCACGGGAGTGTATTTTTTCAAGGCTTCCTCCATGCTCATCACAATATGACCATTTTTCTCCTTGTGATCCAATACAGTGCAGTCACAGCACACAGCTGTTACACATAGCTCACAAAAGAAATTCAGAGGCTGCAACTGGTGTTTTGCACAATAAGCTATATCAGTAATTCCTGTCTCTTGCACAAAGCGCAGAAGTTCCAGTATGGTGTTGTCATTGGGCAAACGTCGTAAATCATCTTCAGAGGCAATGATGCTGTCACGGCAGGTGGGGCACTGAATTTTTACAGCTCTTGGCATTCCCCTGAAAGCAGACGTTAGGGATTGACGGTATTCACCTTCAACTCGAAACATCTCCATGAAACAATGTAAGCAGAAAGTGTGTTGGCATGGCAGGGTCTTGGGGGCCCTATTCGTTTCATTGAAAACATCACGGCAAATGATGCAGCGTAGGAAAGCATCCTGGAAGTGTTCCTCATCAAAGACAAGGTTGCGTTTGCGTAAGGTTTTTTGCACCGGCTCCTTTTTCTTTTCCACTTGATCCACTTCTGAAAATATAAATGAAAAAAATAAAAAATATGTTTACAAATATTTATAAAGAACGAAAAAGAAATATCTGTAAAAATTAAATAATGTTTCAGTACTGTAGATATGACATGGAAACATTGATCATACAGAGAAAAAGGTATCAGTGTGTGTAAGGAATTAATTTGTGACATTGTTGGATGATGATCAATGATTTTTTTTATAGAAACAAAGAAAAAAATGCTGAACTGATATATAATATCAATCCTCCTATATGCTGACAATGTCCACACAGATGAATAGAGGACTTGAAGCAGCATCGATGTGGTTCTACAGAAGGATACTGAGAATACTATGGATGGAACAAGTAAGCACTGTATAAAACTTACAATTTTTCAATGTCTGCTTCTTAAATACTGTGACAACACCTTGAAGATTGACTTATACAATCAAAAATAATAATATCAGATATTTGATAGAGAATTTTTTTTCCACCTTATGATTCCATAAAAACTTTCTGGCATATAATGGCATTTGCCATATTTAATGGTATATCAGAACTGCCCCCCCAATAATTGCGCCCTGGACAACTGGCTCCCGGATAATTTCCCTCATTAAGAGAAAGCATAACTTTGGAGGGGGGGAATAATAAATACTAATAAAACTAATTAAGGTTTTATTTTCATTGTGAATTGTGGGCTATACACAAATACGATAATTACTAATTACATAATTTTACAGTTAATAATAATTACATAGTGCCTAGTAAAACTAATGTTTATAAAAAAATAACTAATAATTATAATAATCAATTCTTACATTTCATGTTATCCAATAATAAGATTTATATTTTTATATTACTATAATTATACAAATAAAATTGTGAATTATGGGCAATACACATGGCTGTTCTTGAAGTCTTGTATAATATTTGCTATTCTGACTACCGAATCTTGAAAATATTTCTGCTTAGGCGGTGCTGGATGTCCCGCAAGCATCTGGTTGATGGTGACACTGGTCAGTGCCTGCTCTCTCTTCAACACCTTCCATAAACTTCAAAATGGCTTTTAGAAATTTATCTTTGTTATTGAAGTAAAAGCCAAACTTTTAAAAAATTTGCCCTTTCCATTGTTTGAGAGCAGTTGTCCTATGGGAGCAATAGTCCAGGGGGGCAGTTGTCCTATGGGGGCAATAGTCCAGGGGGCAGTTGTCTTATAACTGTATATAAGACCTAACGCTGTCAATTTTTTCCACAAAAAAGGATTAAAGAGGTGTTTGCTAACATCTTATATACAAAGTGTTAATGTTTCTCAACCTTTTTACCTTTGTGCCACCCTAGCTGGTTAGAGTGATTGTTGTGACAGTGAGCTGGTAAGATGCTGTCGGTGTCAAGTTATACAAAACATTAATTACATGTCAACTATTGTCTTCATCTTTGTTGTTATCATCACAATGTTTTGGCTGCTGTGTCCTCTGGCATTCATCCGGTGCTTGTCAAACCAGGTAATCTTCAGGGAATTTTTGAATGAAACCTATTATTTAATCCACAAGGGTAGATTGTTCTTATTCTACTGATTATGTCTAGAGATATTTTGTCTAGTTTTTATTTAGAATTGATCAATTATTGTTTATTATTTAATAATGACTAGTACAAAATAAAAAGATATTGGAGTGATTCCCCATTGCTTTCTCTATGATTTTGACTCCAGAAAAGTCCTATACTAGACTAGCAAACAGTGAAGGCTAGTGAGCTCAGTCTACCCTGTTATTTAACTCAACATTAACACTGGATATGTGTAACCATTATTAATATGATTCTTGTCAAGATGAGCTAGTAAAACTCTGTCAGTGCTGAATTATGTGGAAATAACTGGAAAAATCAAAAATGGCTACTGGACTTGAGAAACCTATTTTCCTGAAAAATTGTTTTTGTAGAGAAAATTTTTATAAATTTCAACTGAAAAAAGCTCCCATCAGTACTGGAAAGAGCAATAACATCTACTGGACTTGAGAAACCTATTTTCCAGAAAAATTGTTTTTGTAGAGAAAGATTTTATAAATTTCAACTGAAAAAGCCCCCATCAATAGTAGAAAGAGCAATAACATCTACTAGGCTTGAGAAACCTATTTTCTGGAAAAATTGTTTTAAGACAAAGATTTTATAAATTTCAACCAACAGCAATGAATGCTAAATGTTTCCTTATAAGGAAACAGCTAATATTAGCATTACACTTAGCATTCATTCACTTGTTAAGTAGGTTATTTGCTATTTTTCTTTGTCCCTTTTTACTTTCAAAGATATCACATGAATGCTTTGACTAAAAGAGAATAATGGCATAATCAAGATGCTGATATTCCACATTACTTCAAAGAAAAGAAAAGAAAAGAAAGGAAACTCCCATCAATACTGGAAAGAGCATTAACAGCTACTGGACTTGTGAAAACTATTTTGCTGAAAAATTGTTTTATGAGAAAGACTTCAACCAACATCAAGTATGAATGCTGAATGACTGTCAATGAAGGCTGAATGTTTCCTTATAAGGTAACAACTAATATTACCATTACCATTGATATTACCAGTGGTAAATAAGGTTAATAACGATAACTCCTCATATCAGAAATGCAGGCTGAAAATAGTACTAGTCAGTAATAAGACTATTGCACTAGAGTAATAAGAAGACCATTACACTTTAAATAACTTAAAATGGTTTTACTTCAAATACCAATGCTTACTTAACAATCATAGAATCAAAAGACAACAAGATAAGATAAAAGATTACACAAGAATAAATAATGCTAGTAGTGTGTTGTATTAGTACTTACTAAGCATAAGTTAATGAAGCACAAAGCTAAAAGTGTGAGGTAACTAGTGAGTATTAAAGTCAGTGCTATAGTACTGATATTAAAAGCTGTCTTTTCAATCAAGCTTCAGGTACTTAGAAGTATGTTGACTATATATGTATAAATATCCAGAGTATGTAGATGCTTGATCAAGGGGTTAGAATCTTAGCATTCTGACCATGAGACATGGGTTCAAATCTCACCATGGTGAATTTTTTCAGAGAGGTGACTTCTTGATAATATCAGCCTGGAGAGATGATGCCAGCAGGCAGCACCATTGAGAAGTACCTGAAAACCACATCACAGGTTGATCCAAGCTGTATGTGTGAAATTGGGTAGATGTATCTGTCCAGAAGCCATCACTCAGCTATGGGTTAAATAATAGGACCTGTATCTGGAAAATCATTGTTAGTCTCCTGCCAAAAATTGTTAATGCGGTATTCACTCACAAAAAAATTATTCTTACAATCCAAAATATGTTTTGGCTTTAAATAACTCACAAAGGGTTAATGAGCTGTAAAAAAAAACAAATTAATCAATCAATTGGAAGTCACCAATGTCTATGGTAGAACAAAGTCACAAGTCATCATGACCAAGGCCTTCAGCATACTGGCCTTATTCATGGGACATTATGCATGCATGGTCATGAGATCCATAACCCATACGGGTCATAGTGACATCACATATACTACAGCCACAGTAGCAGTAGTGTTTCTTTGGTAAGATGGCCTGACAGAGCCCAAATTTTTTCATATTTCTCCTAGACAGAACCTAGACTATCTTGCTATTTACCCATAGGTGGAAGGAGAATAGATGGATTCATACCTTTCCCAAGGGTATTAGCATATAAAGAATGTAATGAACTCAACTGGAATTCAAACTTGGCTCTCTGATGCCTCAGTCCAAACCACCATCCATTACTCCACTGTGCCTCCATAATTATACACTCTTTTCCAGAAACTGTAACTAAGGTTCACAAATGCACTTGAACAGGTGTCAGAAACAGGGATTAACTTGCCCCACCCTAGCATACTTGGTTACAAGCAGCCAGTCATACAACCAGAGAAATATAAATAAATAAATGAATTTGAATGAAAAAATAAAGTGCTATTTTGTGAGCTTGTGTGTAACAGTTTCAGAGCCAACAAAATCACAATATCCATTTGGTACAGATTATTCTAGAAATAGTAGTAGCAAGTAGTTTAAAACTCCTATCAACACAAAGACTCATATTCATTCCTGTGTCAATAGAAAATCTATCAGAGCTGACAAAGTAAATCTGGCTGCTGCTCTTGAAAAGGATCTCCAACAGGTGGTTAACTGCAGCAGAAAATGGCTTGTAAATTTGAATGGCTCCAAAATAAAACTGCTCTCATTTCATCACCATAAAACTTTTCTACCTGCCATCAGTATGGCTGACACTAGACTCCTGGAGGGCTACACACTGCACCTTCTTGGCCTCATGTTTTCAACTGACTTAAAGGGAGGTGGTTACATCAAATAAAAAGCTGCATTTACTGCAAGGAAAGTTTGGACATTGTGTCAAGCCAGAAAATTTTTCTTGTCAGAATCCATCTTCCACATTTAGAAATCTACAATTCATCTATGCATTGAATACTGCTGCCATATCTGGTCTGATACTCCTGCTATTGACAAAATCTAAAGAAGGATCTGTAATGTAATTGATCCTGACCTGGCATCTTGACTTCAGTCACTTTCTCACCAATGAGATGTGGCTTCCCTCTGTCTTTTCTACAAATATTTTCATGGCAACTGTTTTGACAACCTTTTTTTACCTGGTGCCCTGACTGCATGAAGTTGGGCGTGCTACTAGATTGACATCTAGGTTCTATCCATTTACTGATGAAATAACTAAATACAACTGCCACTTCTACTCCAATAGTTTCTTTTCTTACATTTCCCAGGTTTGGAACCTCTTTCCATTTACTTGCTTCCCTGAAAAAAAATTTAAATGCAACATCAATCGCTATCTTCTGCCTTCTTGAATACTGTTGATCTTTTGTCCTTTCCTCAATCCTCCCTATACTCAGTTTTTTTATTTATTTTCACTCCCTGTAACCCCCTGTGTATTAGTGGCATTCTTGCCTTGTTTGGGGTGAAATGATAAAAAATATATCCATGCCTGTAAGTATTGTGACAAAATGGTCATCATTCCATTACAGGTTGTATTACAACACTCATTAATGCTGATCTCTTAGCCTCAGGCTGAAACAATCATTGCATAAGTAAAATAAGCTGTTAACTGTGAAGAGCTTAGACATTTTAAATTTTCTTCTAATCACTTGAAGGTCAAGGAAGAAAAAAACAAGGTTTGTCAAATTTTTCATTCACCAGTAGAGAATGTTTGTAGTTTTTTCTTGAAATCACATTCAATTGGTTTTATAGCAACCTTGGGGAACACGATAAGATTCACTTTTAAGATTCAAAATGGCTAAAAGAAATATTGTTCATGTGAAACAAAAAATAAAATCTCCTGACCAATCAGCACAAACAAAGCAATATTTTTCAACCAATAAAAATAAATAACTTCCATATTGATTGATTGATTTGTTTGTTTCAATCTAAACCTGTTCAAGTCTTGGATTAACTGCCAATAACACCACATATCCCTATAAACTGTGCCTCTTACTTTGTAACCTTCTACCTAGAGTGGCTCTTGAGCCATTTACAAGGTGAACATTATTGTAAAATAACAAAAACTTTTGACAAGTTATTTAAAGCCAGAAAATAATTTTAAGATTTTGAGAAGATTTTGGGAAATAATAA